TTCTTTCCATGCATTCTACAGGAATGGAGCTATCTATAAATAATTTTGATACAGATAAAATATGGCACTATCAAGACCACTTGGGAAAATTCAAGGGCCATTTGCCATGGCAATGTTACGTGTATGGAGCAGTAGTGGTCATTTCCCTCCTAATTTGAGAATATGGAGGGTAAGTGAAAAGCAAGGGGACTCTGTTTTGTTAACTGATGCTTTGGTTGGGCGGTACAGCCAAGCACATCAATTGTTTCATAATAATGTCATGCCAACTAAGGATGTAAGTATTGCATCGGAGGATGGGTTTCAGAACAGGGATATAGATGTTAAGGAGAGTAGGGTTTCTAAGGAGAACAGATGGAAAGTAAACCAGTCAAGGGAAGCTTGAACCCAATGCAGAATGATACAAGTGATCATTGTCGCTGTAAAAATGACTCTGAAAAGAGCAAAGAAGTGGGCTCTCGATTCTATTTGTATGCTTCTGTTGATATTATAAATTTGAATGCAACAGAGGCTGGAAGTCCTTTACCACAGTGGGACTCCATGAAGGGTGATAGTTACTTCCCTGGCCAGCCCCAGGTTAGTAGTTCACTTCCCACATCTACATTATCTGTGAAACCATGTGAAGCTCAGTCTCCTCAAGTTGGCAAAGGTCATGGGTTCGAAAGATGGGATGTGGTTCGATCGACATGAATGTGAGTTTGAACAAGATCGAAGGTCAAATTATTGATGGAAATGTTAAGCAAGATAATGAGGGAAATTCAGGCAAATCTTCTGGGCAATGCTGGAGAGCTCCACTTTGAATAATGCTTCAAATGGGTGGGATTCCAACTCTGGTCTTCTTTATCTTGCTAGGGCTCTTGAAGTGTCAGAGCACAATCAGAATATTGATTTCCCAGATCTTCCTACCACAACGTCAAAGTTGAACCAAGAAGAGTCAAAAGGTCAGGCTGCTAAAAGCAAACATCCCTTTCTCCAAATGTTGCTCATCTGGATTCAGGTCCTAGCTGGAGCACTACTTCGAGTATAGTGGGTAATGGACCACAGCTTCCTGGAGTAGCTGGTGAATGGAGAGGATATTCTTCCAATCCAGCAAGACCTACTACAGGGAAGTGGAACCTGATTTTGTTCCCAAGTCTACTATGAAACCAATCGACTTGGGAAATGATCATGCTGCTACTCCTGCTTCAGGAAGTGGCCAATTAACGCATTCTTCTCCTGCAGATCCTGCAATAATGAATCTAGATGGGATCCAATTGTTCCAGAACCTAATGAGTATTCTTTGGGCGATGAATCAGTTTCAGATCTCTTGGCCGAAGTTGAAGCAATGGAGTCACTTAATGGCTGGCTTCACCTACATCAATTTTGCGTTGTGATGGGGACTTGGCTCAAGGTTCCGAACCTGATTGTTTTAGTCCTGTGGGAGGACTTAGCCCTGCACCTGATCCAGGAAAAAGTGATGCTTTGAGTTCAACGAATGATTACAAATGCCATCTCTGTTGGCTTTGACCAATGAGCTATTTGGGATCACTAAGTCTGAGACGTTCAAAAGAGTTCCGGCGGACATTCTTCCACGAGTGCGAAATGGATGAAGATACAAGGCCCTGCGATATCTCGGTAACCAATACGAAGCTGGTTCAGACCTGCAGCCTCCTGCACCCCAGTAACAACTTGGGGCTTGGCTACTGTGAGTGATGCGTGGAGAGCGGGGCCAGAAATACTAGCACCAATTGGGGAGCAGTTCAAGGAAATGCAAATTTTCATTGGGAAGGTTTAGGTCAAGAAACTACAAACTTAGTTGGGGACGGGTCACGGAGTGATTCAGGAAAATGGCAGCAGCATCCATTCAAGCACTTCGACAGGAAATCCAGCCTATTTGGGAAGCCACCAGAGGTATGTTGATCCCAGGGATCAACAGAGGAATGCAACCCCAGGGACCAACAGAGAAATGCTGATCCCAGGGACCAACAGAGACATGCTGATCCCGGGACTACAGAGACATGTTGATCCAAGGGATGTACACAGACATGCTGATCCACGGGACCTACAGAGACATGCTGATCCTAGAGGCCAACATAGACATGCTGATCCTAGGGACCAACAGAGGCATGTTGATCCAAGAGGCCGTGATCTTCATGGCAGAGATTCAAGTTTTGTTAGAGGCAGGCCCCCATGGAATAAGCACTCATCGTACAGTGGTGGCCCTCCGAACAGTTGGTTCTTTCAGATCTCCGCCCAAAGGACAGCGGATCTGTAAGTTTTACGAGAGCGGTTATTGCAACCGGGGAGCATCATGTAGTTATTGGCACCCCTGAATGAGTACTAGTTTACCATAACAATTGTGGCATTTAATTCTGTATTCATTGTTGTAATAGTAATTTGACCTTCTCAATTTAACTTGTAAGCTGTAACAGCACATTCAAGCCGACGATAAAACATATTATGATAATTATTATTCTTCTCTGGGTATATAGCTTACCCTTTGATAGACCTGAGATATATACACTTTGATAGTCAGGTGTGCGGCACAAATAAATCCGAATTAATTAGGGTAAAGTTTCGGGAAAACAGGGAGGGTAACAAAAAAATGTAGTATCAATTTATGTATATGAAGAAACAAGGGTAAATTACATGTATAATTATTAAATTACAGGGTAAGTTTTATTTTGACCATTGAATTAAAAAGAAATTCCTAATCATGTCATTAATGTTTAAATGATAATTATGTCATTGACCGTTAACTTTTTGTTGTGACACAGTTAAATAAAATTATATGATTATTTATTTGGTTATTATTACTTATACATATTATCAATTTGACTTAAATTTAATTAAAAATAATTCAATAATCCTCCAATAAGATAATAATTAAAAATAAGATTGTGGCACATGCCAACATCTTATTAGATGATATTAAATTCATTTAATAAAAATATCAGTCACCTTGTTAAAAGTTAATGTTCTTTTATAAATCGAGATGAATACAAGATAATATGTTTAAAATTTTTAACCATTTGAAAATGAAGTCATACTTCTATATATACAGTGCTCGAACTCGGAACTTCAAAGGATAACAATATAAAAAATGTTAAATTTAAATAATCAAGTGACTTGATTAAAATCATTTTTTATTTAGTGTTCAAATATGACTCATCTTATAATTTAATGAGTATACATGTAGTTATCTTAGAATTAATTATTTATTTAATGTTAAAATAAATTAATATCTGTTAATTTTATAATAATTTAATAAAGTTAAAGTTATATGTTCAATTAAATTCAACAGCTTTTTCCAACGCAAAAACATCGGGTTTTTTAGTTTCTTGGTCTAAGTAAATAATCACGTTTTAAATATAAATTTTGGCGTTTCAAACGAAATTTTGGACTGAAGCACTTCGACAAACATTCCCAAACAACCCCCAAAGATTAGATTATTTTCTATTGTCCCTCAATTTTCAGGGAAGGTAGAGGATGTGAACCTCATCATAAGCTTTGAATAAAATTATAAAACTGTGTCATTTCAAGTTTTTAGCTGTAGCTAAGCTGAGCTGAAAGTAGCAGCAGCATTGCTGTGAAAGGTTTTTAGTTAACATTTCTCTTTTCTCTAAGTCGTAGGTTTAATTAGGGATGGATATGGAACTCGAATCCGATGGGTTCCGGTCCAATCGAGTTATGTTTTTTAAGGTTATGTTCAAGTTGGGTCAGGTTCGAGTTTAGGGTGAAAAATATTCGACTTATCCTAACCCCAAAAAATTATAATTTTAACTTATATATTTAGTAATAGTTATAATGATATCCCTCTATATATTATTTTCTTTTAATTAAATCTATTTTTTATTTAATAAAATAATATTTTAATAATATTATTTTTAATAAATATGTTATTTTGGGTCTTGCTCGGATTTGGATGAAAAGTGTATATTTTTCTGGAAGAGTAGAGGGTTTACAATTTTTAAAATAAGTTAAGTAGACTGAAAATTCGACTCGACTTAACCAGACCAATGTCCATAGAAAAGAAAAAAGGGATGAGCATGACAAAAATACATTTTAGCTTTATTTGAGAGTTTGGGAGGAGAACGTATATATAAACATCCTAAAATTAAAACAGGAGAAGCCGATTTCCCATCTCCTTGTTCCATACCATAATTTATTGTGATGAAAGTGGATGGAAGTGATGAGAGGTTAATTAATTACCACCCCCACAATTATGAGAGAGATGTTCGGGTACTTTCTTTTCTATTAGGGTAAAAGTATACAAATAGTCCCTTAATTATAGGATATTATTTTATTGAGTCTCTTGACTATTAAAAGTTATAAAATGATCCATTGACTATAAAGAGTTGATTTATTGAGTCCCTTGACTATTAAAAGTTACAACATGATCACTCGACTATTCATTATATCCAATTCTCCTTGTTTTGTTAAAAAAACACTCGTCTGAGTTGGACGTTAGCATGTTGACTAAGATATGATAGTCATTTGAGATTATGAGATTATATTTTATCATATCTCTGTCAACAAGTTAATGTACATCTCAAACTGCTGTTAATTCTTTAACGGAAAACGACTAGTGTGTAACATAAAAAATAGTCGAGTAACTATTTTGTAACTTTTATTTGTCTGGGGACTCAAAAAAAGTAACTTTCTATAGTCGAAGAATTATTTTATAATTTTTAATAGTGGAGAGCCTTAATAAACAACATTCTATAGTCAATCTAAACCCCATATTTGGTGCGAACCATCCTTATGCACCATCATTGCAACATACTACTAGCAAGTCATCTAAACCCCATATTTGTTTCAAGCTTATCAAGATAGAATGATGGCAAGTGACTCATTTAAGACTACTAAATATCAGCAATCTATGAAGCACGGGAACGACAATGGAATCCCGTTTCAAGTACCCAACAATAGAGTAATATAAAAGGATCATAATGTCAATACAATACAACCAAGTTAAGGTACACGTAAGTTTATATTTACATCAAATACAACACACTTCGCTTATCTTAGATGAGAATGACACAAGGCACACTGAAAATCTCGCTACTTCCAGTCGCCAGCAGACGAGAAATTATTCAACTTTCCACAACACACACACACATATATATATATATATATACAGATAAAAGAGATGTAGACTAAATATAATCTAAAATTATGAACAAGTTGTCCTCAGAGAACCTCTCCATAGTACTAAACTCGGTTGGATACGATGATGGTATCATGTTTACGGATGTTGCAGAAGTTATGACGTACGCTTTATTTTCTAAAAATAACTATATTTCTAAGTTGCAGACGGTTCCATACTGTTTTACCACCGGCATTTAGTATTATGGTACCACCGCATCAAGCAAGGCGCAGGTCATTAGTTCCGTGTTGAAGAAGTTGAGGCTGGTGGTTTGGTACAGCCGGAGGCATATAAGTTATTAGAGGCTCCATTGGCTGCAACTCCCATGGCTGATTCATATCCTCCGTTTTCAACTATTCCATCCTGACGCTCAAGCTTTGTCTCCTTGAGCAGAAGAGAGAAGTTCACTACTAGATAATAAGAAAGCAAACTCCGTATCAAGTTTCGATCCAACAGTTTCTTACCAAGTTCAGCACAAGATTTGCATGCCTTTCCTCCAAATCCTTACCTGCAGAGGTCTAAACTTGAGCGACAACTCCAAAATTTGAATCAAACAAGCCAAAATGTGATTAATTTTGGAGTTCGGTTCACTAACCTTCTTCTATGTTTATCTGTTTGCGTTTTAATGGCATAGTACTGTGAACAATCAACTGATATTTGTTAGTTCCATGACTTGATTTATAACCCACAAACTTGAGTTGAAAAAAACATTAGCAGAAGAATCTTTTAATCAATCAGAAGAATGATGAATAATATAATATAATAAACCCTTTTGGTACAGCAGAAAGTCCAATAATTTCAGACCTTTCTCTCTCGAATAGCCACAAGGCAGAATCCATCTTAGCCTCGAGAGCTTGCAGTTCCTTAATGTTAAGTTCATTCAAATCTCCACCCATCCTGCCTGGTAAAACCATTCCCCAATAAATAAATAAAATCAATCATTTTTATTGATAAATAACCCTAGGTTTTGTATATATCAGGAAGCCCTAAAATTCTTAACCTGATCTCTCTTTTCAGCTTATTGTTTATCCTTCAACCTCCTGTAATTTTCTTGCATTCTCTGCCAAAACATTAAAAAAATCACAACTAAAAGAGAGAGAGAAAATGGTCCATAAGCTTGAACATTGAAAGCAGAGACATTTGTTAACCTCGTAGTGGGTTCCATAGATCAATCCCTGAGTCTTTTGATATAGATCAAAAAACCCTTTTTTCCTAATACAAAACACAAAACCCATATCATGTATATGTATGTTTAAATTCATGGAGAGAAAAAAAAGGGGGAAGTGAAAGATGATAATACGTGATATTAGGGCTAAGGAACTCGTGGAACTTTCCAGTACTGGAGAACATGATCAAGGAAACCTTAGCATCACAGAGAACAGTGAGCTCTTGAGCTTTCTTGAAAAGACCGTTCCTTCGCTTTGAATAGGTAACCTGCCTGTTTGTAGCGTTCTCGATCTTCTTGATCTCGATCTTTCCACGACCCATTCTTGCTTTTCCCAGTGTTTTTTTTTTAAGAAACCAAATGATCAGATGAAAGAGATGAGGTGCACAGCTAGCTAGGCTAATGGGCAATTGAACAAATAGGCTTGGATTCGAGGAAGAGGAGAGAAATCTATATCGGGGAAGGGGGGATGAAAAGTATGTTGTTTGATAACTATAAATGGTCGTTGAAATAATCCAAGTTACATTGGCATCTCGAGGGAAACATTGCCTGATAACATGTGAGATTCTATTACCTTGACAAAACATTCATGATGCAGGTTAAACTTCGTAATTGGGACTGTTAAGTGGGATTCGGCTCCATTCAACACTAATACCAATCACATTGTGTTTAAGTTTAGAGTGATGCTTTAGATTATGTTAGGACGAAAATTTATAAAATTTTAAAGACAAATCGATTATTAATAAAAGATATAAAAATATATTAATTTAAAATTGTTAAGGGGCGAGTACTTCACTCACCTCACCTCGATCAGTCCCTGATGTTGTAGGTGTAAAAAACTTTTTGTTTTATTTTGTTAAATCTAAAGGGATTTGCATGTATACGTTTTCTGCATTTACTTAATGATTTTTTTTTCTTTTATGTATTAAATATTATTTTTAAAAGAAATAAAAAAATTATTTGTTGAGAGTAATGTGACACCGTAAGGTGATGACACGTCAACATTGAAAATTAAAATATCACGTCAATTTTTAACGACAAATGATCAAAATATGATCAAATATAACGTTAGGTGTGATTTAAAAGAAATTAATAGTTGGTGACCAAAATATAAAGGTGGGTGACCAAATAAATAATTTATCCTAAGGTCTAATATACGAGTTACGATCCACTTACACTAAGGTGGTGTTTGTTTTTACTGTGTAAGGTCTGCAAAGCTCTTATGTCTGTGCCGCGCATACCACGCGCAGACATTGGGCTTCGCAGACCGTTTGTTTTTTAGAAGACATAAACTCTTTTAACGTTTGCGTGTGGTCTGCGTGACGCAGATGGGACCTTATGTCTGCAGACGTCTTCTAACCTCTTCAAAGAGGTTTTGTCACACCCCAATATGGGGTTAGATTTTTTCAGTTTAAAATATGTGAAATGTTATAAGGTTTGATTGACAAATAATTGTTTTCATATTATTATTTTATTAAGCATATTAAGGGCCACTCAATAATAGATATCTTTTATAGTAATGAACAATTTATTTTTAAAAGAAAAACGTGAATGAAGGTAATAGAGTAGGTAGAAGTGGGTAAATTGGATGAGATTGTATTAAATTAATGATAATGGCGATGTATGGAATCCTTTTCTTCCAGCTTTCACTTTCGGCTAGAATCCAACAGCCGCAGCCATCCCGTTCTTCGTCGCCTTGCCTACGACTCCTTGCCATCTCAGTATCTCACGTCGCTTCTAACTCAAAAATGGCTTCTCTCAGCTACACTCTCAAAGCCCATCTTCTTTCAACCTCAAAACGTAAACTCCAAACCCGAAAATACCCCACCAAGGTTCGCATGTATCTTCAAGAGTCTGGCCATCCATCGCCGTTGTAGGTGTCACTGCGTCGTTGGCCAAGAATTTCTTTCCGTACTCTTCGACCCCGACTTCCCTTACCATTTCCTCAAGCTCCTCGCCTCCAAACGCTCCGCTGGTAAGCTTGTTTCCTTCCAAGACCGCATCTTTACCGTCCAGGAACCACCGCCAACAGTGTAATCACCATCGTTCGACATTTGTTCTCAAAAATAATTAAGACCCGAGGTTGTCTTTCTTCTCTCCTCAAGTATCACTCAGGAGAAACCCATGTACAAAGCAAAGTCGATGGCATGCGAGACAGCCATGGCTTCTGCTCTAAAAATTCGAATAGAGACAAGCGAACAGGAGGGGAGCACGACATTTCATATAGCTACAAGCAAATCTCGCCTGTAATAATAAGAAAGTGCGCATCAAACTATAGCTACCAATGAAAGAAATGAAGAATAGCAAATCACGTGTTTGGGGGTGTTTTAAATAAGAAGGTGAAATTACAAGGTAAGCCATCCAAGTTGTTAAAGCTCAACATTGTCTCTTAGCTTTTATATTGTTATGATTATGGCATAATGGTTTTATTAAGATCGATTTAGTCCCTAATTTTAGCAATTAAAAATTATATTAACTCCTAAAGTTTTTAGTTTTAACAATTGGATCCCCAAATTATTAGTTAGATTCTAATAAGCTATTTTTATGGAGAGAAATTATTTGAAGTGTATTTGTACGATAGATTGTCCGTGTTCGTTAGAAAAGATTGGAAGCTAGAAATCAAGTTGGTGAGCTGGAATTCAAGAGTAATATTTTGGGTTTTGTTGACGTCCTAAGTCCGATTCCGAAGTTTGTTTCGCCAAATTTGAAACCGGTAAGTTGTTTTTCACCGATTAAACCTGATTCAATCCGTTTTCAGATTAAGCTCTATTTTTGATGAAATTTCTGTTGATATATATCTAAGGAATTATTGGAAGATGATTTCAAGATCGAGGGCGTTTGAATGGAATTTAATGGTCGATCAGTATGACACAAAAATCGAGGTAATACTTTACTACCTCTTTATGCTTTATGGAACATGTGAATATTGGTAAATGCATGAATAAGATAATATTGGTCTCATATGTGTAGTTAATTAATTTCTACACTCGATCCGAATACGATAAAAATTCGGTAACTGATTATGGTTCAGATGACTTTTATAAGAAATTGATGGATTGTTTGTTAGAATTAAAATTACAAGTTCTGTGTATAGTGATAAAGTAATCAACTTGGATCTGTAACATATAATTTATTTCATCAAAGGTACTTGGATGGGAAATTATGAGCATATTCTGGTAGGGTAAAATTACGGAAATACCCTTATGTTGTAAGATGACAAGAATTATCCCTGAAAGTTGATTAATAACTCTGAAAGGATATATTGATCTGATAAAACTATAGATGTGCATAAGAAATGCTAGTTTGTTTAGAAAAGTTGGATAATTGGTTTTTAACCCAATAGGGTTTATGCAAGATACTAGAAGTCTGTTAATCAATCATTTCAAGATCCGAGAATGTTCGGGTAAGCAATTAAGCATAGAATCTCTTAACTATATTTATTTTCGTTAAGAGTTAATACCAAAAGTATCTGGGTGCAAAATTACGAAAATGCCTTTGAGAGTTGAAAATAGTCCAAGTTGACTCTGAATGAGAGAATAACCTGAGAATTTGTTTTTAAATCGATAAATTACTGATTTGATTGTTGGGATCCTACCTTTGTATGGAAAATTTCTAAAAATTTGTTAGTAACATTTGAAAAGACATTTAACCTGGAAATTATCGAATTGAGTAAATACCTGAAGAATGAGTTATCGAATGTGCTCTTTGGTCAGAATTGTTTGAAAGGACTGAAGTAAGTGATAAGATTAAATTAAATAATAAGATCGGACGTAAAGAAATGATGGAAATACATTGGATATGTAAAATGACCAAAATACCCCTGGAATGGAAATGACTCAAGAATGTCACCAAGCTCAGGAATGAATGGATATACTCAAGCTTTGAAATGAATAGAAAAACGTTGAGCACCAAAAATGACCAAAATACCCTTATGACCTAGAATAAGTAAATGTCTTGGATTAATTAAGAAATCCAAATAAACATGTATGTTGTGCTACTAGTAAAAGTTATGAAACGCAGCTTAAGTGATCAACCAACGCTAGTGCTATATCATTACCTGAATGATATAAGCACCACTTGAATGTTTGTTCATCTTCCCAAATTTGGATCGATGATAATTCTGGAAGTACTTGGCTCAGCTCAACTCTATAGCGCATACAGTACTAATAAGTGGGTATCTGTGAGTCAAATCAACCACGAATACCAGAATGACTTTATTATATGAATAAATTAAACTGAAAGGAAGTACAACATGTATTTGAAATTCAAAAACGTCTGAATTATTCTGGAAAACTCTAAAGTAATCGGGATAGATTTGCTTACTAAATGAACTAAGTAACCTCAATGACTGAGGATTGAATAGGTGATTGGATGAGTTTGGAAGCACTGTTGAACTTACATGATGAATTGTCCTTATGGGTTATTGACCATGAATCAAGTACATTTGTATTTCTTGATATCGTTAAAACGTGGAAATGAAATAAAGATCGTTGGAAGATCTATTCAGCGATGATTATGGGGATGATCTATGGATCTGTATTATGGTATTAAAGAGTGAATACACTGGAAGAATAATGAATTGACTTGTTGACATGCATCAGTTTGGGAGTTGTGTAACTCGAGTTGTTTGATAATACGATCCATAGTCATAGATTGTAAATGACTTGAATCTTCGATTCTATATTTTCATCTAAAATCACTTCGGTCATGTTTGAAAACACAAGTAGCGCAGAATGAAAAGATTTTTAATACCTCATTTGGTTCAATTGGGCTGAAATCCTATGAATTCAAAGTATATTCCTGAATACCCCTGATTGGTTTGGTAATGGAATCACTCGCAGTAAATCTGAATTTAAAATTATTATGCATAAAGGTTCCTGAACGTTTTCCTGATGCACATGGAAACGTAGTGGAATTCTAAAGTATCAATTCTAAATGTCTGATTAGATCGGTTAGAAATTGATTCTCTTCAATAGGATCTCGTTCCTGGAATATGATCAAATTGCATAAGTTTTCTGTTATCCATACTGATGACTACAAAATGCCTCTAATAAATATTGGGATTTCTCTAGTGTGTTCCTTATATTTTAATAAATTGTTTTATTGTTTTAACATGAGGTACACTGAAATTTATGGTTAATGTTTTATGGATGCACTGACTGAATGGTGATGGCTTATGGATTTGTATCACGATATAAATTGTATCTTGGAGATACAAATTTGTAAAGTACAGCTCTGATCAAGCTGAAAATTTTTTATGGACCTAATGTGACTCTTAGGTAGGCTCTGCAACCCTGAGATCATTCTCGGGTAGGCCTCGCGGCCCTAAGATGTGTTCTTAGGCAGGCCCCGTGGCCCCGAACTTTCTTGGGTAGGCTCTCAGGCCCTAAGATGTTCCCTTAGGTTAACTCTTTGTAAGATGATTTTAAAATACGAGTTTAAAAAGCTCCACT